GTGGTAATAGGAAGAATTTGGCTGACCTCTCTTCAGACGTCCCCTAGTGGTTAAAGGAGGAGCTACACGCGAGCCTTTAATCACGCCCAGAGAAAGCCCTCTAGTGGACAAAGGGTGTACCTCGAAAGAAGATCACCCCGGTAGCTGATACGCAGATAGCGACCCCTAGTGGTCAAAAAGTGAAGTTCATCCAATTTCCCTCTAATTAGCTAGGAACCACAGGAGAACGCTCCCAGTGACTCCTCCACCTACAGACAGCACCCCTGAAGCTGATCTGCAAGTAGCGACCCCTAGTGGTCAAAAATAGAAGTTCATCTAATTCACTTCTAAACAGCTAGGAACCACAGGAGAACGCTCCCAGGCACCCCCACCCACAGACAGCACCTCTGAAGCTGACCTGCAAGTAGCGACCCCTAGTGGTCAAAGAAGGAAGTTCTTCAAATTCGCTTCAAAATAGCGGAGAAGGACACTGAACCTGCCCTAACCATGGCGGAGTGTCTCATTGATCTAGATGAAGGGGTTCAACCAACCAGCCTAGTTGGGACACCCCAACCAGACGGCCAAGGAGAAGCGCCGCAGACAGCCACCCTTGACCTGTACACAGAAGCTGAAGCTCATGCCTCAGTAAGACCAAAGACGTCTCAGAGTCACTATGATCTGAGACAACAAAGAAAGCCAACTGAAGCCATGCATGCAAACCTGTTGGAGAAATGGCACACCGTGTACAAGCGCCATGAAAGATGCTGGGAGAGATGGCACAAACTCCACCAAGAGCAAAAAGAGGATCTCTCCCCCGAACGTGCTCACGCACTGGACGGAGATAAGGAAGATGCCTTCACACAATGGATGGACTCCGAACGGCAACTCAAGGACATCCAACAGCAATTAAGAGACTCAGAAGTCGACCGCGACATGCAAAGTCTTCGGTTACTGAACGAGGAACGCAAGAAGCTTCTAGAGAGCCCACAACGCCCTCCAGAATGCGAGCCTCGCCTGAGGGACAGACTGGTCAACAGGGCCGAGTCTGAAGTTTCTCGCCATTCACACGCACCGTCCCAACGGTCGCACGTGGCTCCATCCCATGCGTCTGGAAGGGCATCATCCTTTCGCCACATATCCAAGGCACATTCCAGCGTGTCACAACAATCACATGTCACAGGCGCCTCCCGCAATTCGAAAGCTTCTTCTCGTCACAGCAGAGCATCTCGAATTTCACAAGCAGAGCAAGCAATCATTGATGCCAAAGCTGCCAAAGCAGTCTTTCGTGTGATTCAAGAGGAGCGGCAGAGAAAGAAGAAACTCACAGCTATAGATCTTGAAGAGGCTGAAATAGAAGCCAAACTAGAAGCTGAGGCAGTCAAAATGAGGAATGAGTGAGAAATGGAGGAAGCCAAAATGAAGAATGAGCGAGAAATGGAGGAAGCCAAAATGAAGAACGAGCGAGAAATTGAAGCAGCTCAATTGAAAGCAAAACGAAAAGCTATAGCAGCTAAAATGAGGGCCAAAAGACAAGATGCTCAAGAAGAGCTTGAATTTGTTCAAAGCCAACGAGATATGGCAGACAAAATAGCTAGAGTGGAAGGCTTTCAGAAAATACTCCAGAACACCAATTTCTTGCCCAATAGGGGGCAATCGGAAAACAAAGAACGGCGTAGCCGAGTACAGACCTACGTGGATAACCAAGGTGCATTTCA